TCAGAGAGCGTGAACTTGACATGGAACACATTTTCAAAAAAAAAAAGCCTCAATTTTTATAAAAATTTGTGACATTGTAACTCATGCAGTTGTTTATAATGTAGTGTTTTTAAAATTTCAAAATATTTCATAAATAATTGTTATTTTTAACATGTAAAGGGCATAACATTTATAAAAGAAAAAATGTCTCAACCAGGATGAAAATGAGTATGATAAAATAAATAATTCTTTTGTAGGATAATGAAGCCAGAATATAATATTAATGTTTAAGTACTTTTATATCTGAAAAAATATTCCGAATTTGATCCCCATTCCTTAACATTAGACGAAGACAGCATTATAATAGTGAGACTCGAAACATAGAAATTTTATTAGCAAATCATCCCAACATCAATATCATATTTTCTGACTTTTCAACTCTGTAGAGAGCAGCATACCATACCTATTCTATACCGTGGTCTGATTTAATCTAATTTTTCTAATACTCTATGTATCATAAAAGGCAACTCATCAAGAATTTATCCAGGTAGGACAAAATCAGTACATGTGATTAAAAATGAAACCATTACAGGATCATAAAAATGGGATGCCGTACTCAAGAAATACAGACACAAAAGCAAAAAAACAATCAATAATGCGTTCGTCCATCTCTGGGCGTGTTACAAGATGTTGCCCGGCTGGGAATTGACTCGTAGAATTGGTGAATGTCCTCATCCGAGATTGTTTACCTAACATGTTTCAATTGGCGAGTTACGGACAGCATGATTCAGGGGCAGTCGGAAACGTCTACTCTGAGTCCAAACGTACTGTATTGGGGAGAGATCTGGCGATCGCACTGACTAGGGAAGTGTTGAAGAAACATAAAAGCAGCAGAAAAATGTTCTATGTTGTTGAATTGTACTCGTAAGCCCAAGGGTACGTGAAAGAAAAAATAACACTAAAGTCAGTGGCGTAACGGAGAATATTAGATCCCCCTGCAAAATCAGGTTTGGGCCCAAATTGGTTAAAAAGCCCTTGGTGTCAATCAAGCTTGGGGCCCTCGAGAATCCTGCTCCACTCCCGCGATGCGGAGGTGTACGTTACGCTACTGAATAAAGTGCGCAGAATCTGGTCAGTATATAGCCGCATTGTCATGGTGTCATAGTTGATAACCAAAGGGGGCCAGCAATCAAATGTAATAACACCCTTAAAATCTCTTATCATAACTCCTGATTGTTAACTGTGGGCTGGAGAACAGTCGGATGAGAATCCCATCGCTGCATTTCCATTCCCGTGTTCTCTGGTTAGGATTCAGTTCGAAACGGACTCACCGTTGAAAACAATTTTACTCAATTTTTGACGGGCTCACGCGTCTTTTCTTTAACATAACCTCTGGGTTCTTTGGTGGCCAGGATTAATGGCAACTCTTTTCCAACCAAAAGCCAAGAAACGAAATGTGAACAAGAAATGCAAATAAGACAGCTTTTAAATAACGGAAGTTTCAGTAAGTGAGATGGCAATTTGGGGAATGTTATGTTTGAAAGAGATACAAGCGTGAATTGACAGCCAATCGTGAAGTTACCTGGAAAGTAAACTATTAAAACGAGGTGAATACCATTGCACGCGCGCCCAGACGTTTGCACATAAAGATTGAATCTAAGTTTGGATTAAGGTAAGAATGATTATTTGATATTAGGACTTGTAATATTATTAGAAGTGAGAGTAGGCGGATTAAATAATTATAACTTAGAGAAAGTGGTCTAAATTACGCGATTCGGTTTAACTATCACTGTGTGTTTGTTCATTATAGATTCTCGCTTATTTAAATTTATCTAATTTGTTAGACATTTAAGTTCTATTCTTAATAAAGACATATTAAGAATCAAAAATGTCTATTCCTTTTGCAAACCCTACACCTCTAGCTCACGCTGACAATCAAAGATACAGTCACCAAAGGGGGGACGTATCACAAATTGTGAGATTCCAAGCACCATTGCAAATGGGCTCTGCAGTCTACAATTGTGAGGAGCATTCTTGTGAGGAGCATTAGCCTCCTTTCGCTGTCACGTCGAAGGATTTTATTTTATCTATCTTATATTTTGTATTATTCGCCCAGCTTTCTTAAATGATTGTATTCTTTTTTAAGGTTAAATAATAAATTTTAATTAATATCCCTACACTCCCAATTTATTACATGATTCTGTTAATAAGTGTAACGTGTGATTAAATAACTTCAAATATAAATTAGCAAGTTAAATTACCCATTAATAAAGTGAAAAAGGCTCTCTTTTTTTTTTTCCCCGCCGAAAACGTATATTCTACTCTCTTTGTATATTCTACTACACTCTTTTGCAAAAAAATAATACTCTTAAAATATAACCTCGACATCTTGTAAGAAAATTTCTTTATGTTTACATTTTCAAAGGTAGTTACTTCGCACATTCCTACTGCCCAATTAACATTGTCTTAAACAGGTAAAAATTGAGGGCGGTTTATCTTTTCTCATTGCCGGCGTTACAGTTCCCCGAAGACGTAGCTATGAATTATGTTAGGATATTGTTGATGACATTTTAGCCAATTGGGTGACTTAGAACGTGGTCTAATTAGGGAGGCGTGAGGCTGGCTGATCAAACGAGCTATGGGCCGTTAGCTTTGAAAGGCAAATCTTGGCTATCAAAGTCATCAGACCTTTCACCAATCAATCAGACCAGTAGCGCACACAGGAATTTTTCGAGGGGGTGGTCCAGGGTCGAAAGTCCACCATTCTTGTATCATGCTCCTTTTGATTTTGTCGATTTTAGGGGACAAAAAACAGTAAAAAAACTAATTATTGAATAAATAATTAGCATTAATTAATAAAAGCAATCCTTAATAACAAATATTTAATTGAATTTTACGTACTATATACTTAGAATTATAATCAATCGAAAAAAATCAACGGCTTTGGGGGGGTTTCGGACCCCCCGTATGCGCCACTGAATCAGGACATGTATTAAACTTGTTGCGGCACTTGATTTGGGCCCCTCAAAACGTTGCATATCTGGAGCAACATCTTGATGAATGCCTGGAAGCATATATTGCAAAATGAGATGAGAAATTTTGAGCATTCCTTACAATGATGTATACAAGTGAAGTGGCGTGTATCTGGAGGACAGAACCCACGACGCTAGGATCCGTAGCCACGTAACATGACCACTAGACAAAAGTGTGATTACCTTTGTCCGGAGGTTGTTACTGGCTTATGTAGTTATCCGCTACACAAGCTTGAAGCGTCACCAGGAGGATTTCACCAAATTTGAAGTGTTAATCATTTCATTATATTTGCATGTTTAATTTCAATAATATCAATCTCTTTCTTCATAAAGCTTCGTGTTCCAAAAAAAATATGTATATTAGTGTTGGTAAGATTTAAATTTTAGAACTTAATAATAAAACGACAAAAATTTCGAAAAAAGATTGTTAATGGAACATTCAAAGTAATAAGGGACCGCATTCTATTTGTTATGTGATATATGCCTGGCTAATTTAAATTATTCTATATAAATTATCGTACCAATAAGGCTCTGTTCAGTGATCAATCCATGATCGCTTCAAATTATTTTGGAAGGTTCAAGTTCAACACGTGCTTAATATATAAAGATTTATTTTTTCTCAACATGTTTGAAAATTCTTTTTCATGCATTCCAAATAAATGCTTTCAAAGTAAGCACAATAATAACTAAAAGAAAACATATATATCTGGGAACAACTAGTTATAAGCTCTTAGTTTTCACCAAGAAATAAATACATTTAAACATTTTTTCTTTAATGAGGAGATATTTTTAGTTAGCAATACAGGCTCAGTTAACTTTAAAATAACACAGAGCCGCTAGAAAGTTTCGAAAATGCTCAAAGTAATAATTAATTATTTTCAAGGCAAAATGGTAAAAATTTAATTACCATATATTGTGGCGTATGAAGCCCAGGGGCCGAGTGATAGTGTATCACGCTTCTACACCACGGGTTCAGGTTTCTATCCCCGAGCTGGGCAAGGTCGTCTCAGCCTTTCATCCCTTCAGTGGGTCTCGATAAATGAGTACCAAGTTAGTTTGGGAACTAAACATTGGGGGTTTAACGTCAAATTGACTACCTGACCGGAAAATCAACTCATTCACATCAGCACCGAAGGTAACGTATACTGAAATGGTCACGGTAGACCTTGGCCCACATGGGCTGATGCGCCCTGAGTTTAGTATCGTATTGCACGCGTCTATACTTTAAAACTTCCCTTTTTGAAAATTTTTAGGTATATTCGCCGCATAACGCACACTTTTTTATTTTTCAGAAAAGACCTTAAATGTATATATGCAAGGCTATCATCTTTTAAAGTCATTAATTAAAAATATTATAACAGGCTTTTAAACAATGGTATACTACTAGGACTAAAAAACTAAAGAGGTGTTAAAAGTTTGTTGTTGTTAGAAGGCAAAAAAAAAACACTCACAAAAGATTGAATGTATCATATCAATCTGGAAGTAGTGTTTGAGTAGATAACAAAAGCTTGGAATAAGAAAATAAAATATACTATTCAAAGTGCATTTAAAAATGTGTAGTACATCTAACAATGTAGATGGAAAGGAGAGGATGATTATTTATTATGGATTTTTTTGAGTAACAGAGATGGTGAAGAGAAACAGAATTCGAAGATATGCCTGAAGATATAACGGAAAACGAATATAACGAACATGTCATGTTATCCAATAACGAAAGTTCATACTGTACAGCATTTCCATTACATAAACAGTACTTGGATATATTCAGAAATATAATTTTTATATGCTTATCTTTCCTTTATTTTTAAAGCTATTATTTTTATAATCGACGTATAACAAGCAAACATAAATTTTATATTATGTTATTTTTGAATTCTACTATTAGTTCACTCTATCCCTCTCATTAATTAAATTGAAAAATAAATAAATAGTAACAAACAAAAATAATAGTCCAACATCATATATAAAATGGAAAATCGCTCGTTGTGTCTATAGCGTGATGAGTAGCGCATTGGACTTCTAATCCAAAAGTCGTGGTTTCGAATCACACCTGGGAAGATCTAATGTACTGAGAAAGTGATTTCTTTCCTACTAAACTATTTTATTAGTATAATTAAATTTAATTAATGAATAAATAGTACCAAACAAAAAAATTAGTCCAACACCCTATATAGAAAGGAAAATAGAAAATTTCAAGGAAAATCGTTTTCTATTTTGTCACTTAATAGTGTGATTCTGTCATATGTATATACATTTTTATATTAATTGTAGTTATTTAATTTAAAGTAACTACAATAAAATTTTTCTATGTTGACCTAAGTAGGAATTGACTTCAAAAAAAAATTTTATGTTGCTTGTTTTCTTTTTTGTGTTAAAAAGGCACGGTATACGCTGGAATATATTTAATTGTCTTTTATTTGTTTCTAATCTGTTAATTAATATAATTTTATTTTGATTTATTCTTTAGAAGAGGTTTAAAATTTAAGCTTCTTGGGAATATATGTCGCCTATAAGACATAACGTGAAACACAATAAAGACAGCTATAAATGCATTTTTTAATTTATCAACTTTTAAAACAAATTTCTTAAAACTGTGACTGCTGTACATTTTCATTGCTGATTGTGCTTCCTACATCCATGTTTAAAAGAAAGCATCACAAATGGCTAATAGAGTTTTATGGCAACGCTCTTTAAAACCGTGTTCTGTAATCACATCGCAAACAGGACAAGTACACATTTCACTAATCCCATTCAATGGAGGCTTAAAGAGCATAAATAATCCTTTCACGACGTAAATACGTCACAGCAATCCTAACTCCATTGTCTTCCTTCTTTAAATACTCTTGCTGTGATGAGTTGTAAAATCCCTTCCTTTTCCCTATCCCGAGCGCCATTCACAATCCCGAGCCTCCATCTCCATTCCCATCACGACACACGAGCTAAAGATCAAACAAGTGGTAATCAAAGTCGTCCAATTAGAACGGGGCGCAGAAGGCTTAAACCTTCACGTCACGTCCAGCTTGCCAATTAGCATCTCCCAGAGACCTCAGAGCAACGACTGTCTCTTCCTCCAAGTGTGGATCAACAGCCAGGCAGGTTGTATGTGGGTCATGTGACAAAACACGATCCATATAGCATGCGTGAGCAGCCACGAATGACGACATAGCGTGATCCGTGACGACGGCACACGTTATTTCGCACTCTTCCAGTGACCCTTGAAACACCCCTCGGTCCCAGGAATATCTTCCAGGAGGAAGTTTTTTTCCTCTTCCTTTTCTTCTTCTTTTACCAAATGTCATTGCCTACAGCAGAAGTCGAATGTGAATATTCCATCTTCGTTGATCTTAAGGAAGAAAAACAGAATATTGGTTTGGAGATATCACGGAATGACTCCATTGAGCAGAGTTCAGGTGCATAAGGTGACTCTACTTTAAACAGCCAGCTTCGTTGAACTAATGCAGCTGTTCTCAAACTGTGGGGCATCCTCCCCTAAGGGGCGTGATAACTCTACGAGGCGGGCGCGAGCATATTGAAAAGGCGAAAACAAAAATTTATTTTTAAAAATATATTAACTTATTGAAAGTAAGCAAACAAAATACATTCTGACATGATAAAAATAAAATGTACGTTTAAACCGATATAATACACTTATAAATGTATCAGTACTGCTCAATGAATTTTATAATTAAACAATACCAAATTAAGAACAAGTTTAATAATTACCAAGGACCCCATGGGCTTAAAATATATAAAATAATATGCAAAAATTAACATTTATCTTGAATATTTGTACGGTTTGTAATTAATATCTTAACTGCCGATTAAAAGTTACGCGATTCGCTCCCAAATACCACCGTTTTTCACGTAGGAGTGCCAATATGATGTATTGGGGAAGGGAAGAAAAGGAGAATAAATAAGCAAATTCCTCTGAAATATAAGTAAATCCTTCGCAAACAAAATAAAGGTCCTTTTATTGCATTCCATGGCCTTCGAAATAATTTTATGTATAGCAGAGCACAGAAAAGATCGTACTTCGGAAAGACGTATATATACGTCCGAGTCAATTAACGCTTTGGCTGAGCGAGACATTTATATACGCCGGATAGGATACACTTAGGAGGCTAAAATCGTATTGTACCTTTAGTGTTTAAGTATTGTAATATTGAATTCAATGCATTGTTATTAAATGGTTGGAAGGAGAGGGGATCATATAAAATTGCAAATAAAATTGAATTTAATTAATTTTTGAAACATAAAATTTAGAAGTAGATTTGTATACATATTTTAATACATCAAAATGAAGAAATTTTAACAAAAACGTCAATTATTATTTTAATTGGTAGTAATTCTGAAAACAACGTCAATTTTTCAAAAATCCTAGTTCAGGCTCTGCACAGAAAGAAGCCTTAGCTCTATATAAGCAAAATATTATTATTATAACAGCATTTTTCATAAAAGGATAACGTTTTGAAAATAGGTAATTCTATGTTCATTTTTTGCCAAAATATTGCATTTAAATAATTTTTAATGTAATAAAATTGTTAAAACAAAGTTTTTTTACATGTGTTTTGTAATCTAAGTGACTCTAAATACTAAAAAATATTCGTCTGTACGCTTTTGCAAAATCATGGTTCCGAACGTAGTCGGATAACTCAAGATGGTGTGGAAGTTAGGAAAGGGTGTGAAACATCTCAGGTGTCGTCCTCGTCACTTGACCGTGGTCGAAGTTAGGTCTGTCACCAATAACCCTCGAGTTCCTTCACAGTGCGAGGTAAATTAAAATCAAGTCGAACTCTTGACAAAAATTTTCTTATGTATAGAATGAGGGCTGTTAAGCGATAAAATAAACAGAGCATCTCAAAGTTTTCAAGTGACAGGATGAGGAAATTTAGTAAAGGATATAAATGCATATGTTTTGGAGGGATGTGTACGTCCTTTGTGGTTGAACCCTTCATCTACCGCATTATGATTTACTGCAGTTTTTTTTTTTTATGCAATATTTTTTTTTAATCACTACATTGAAAATTAAGGGATATACATAAAAAAAAGAGAGTACTCAACTTTGGGAAATTTAATCCGTTAGAGCTAATTAATTAATTAAAGATATTCAACTGTAAGATTAATTAGATACACTGTTCACTTAAAATAAATAGTCAAATCGTTTTCTAAGGTCTTCATTAGCATGCAAAAAAAAAAGACACCTTTTGACATTAACTATTTTTTCGGAACAAAAATAACACTCTTCGCAATCCGCTGAAAACGCACAATTTCTGCTATAAAACTATTCGCCTTCCCCGCTAAAATACTCATCATAGAACCCGTGCTGCCATTTTCTTGGAAGAAAGGATTTAAAAGAATATTCCTGCTAAGTATCGTCAGAGTATTCGTAAAAATGGTCATCCTTTGTAATTTTAAAGTGAGAGTGGTACTTATGAGTACCGTCGATAAATAAAGGGTTAAAAAACATGGTCCATAGCCGCTATAATCCAATATTAAGGCTAAATTAGTACTTTAAAAAAAAACAATTTGATGGTTTTTCATCTTTAAGAAAAAGTAAAATATTATCATCTTTCAAAAAATTACGCAATACTTTTCTTTTTTTTTAAAAAAAAAAAGCATTGAGTTGCATTTCTACGATTTGACATGATGCATTAAATTAAAAGGGGCATAAAAGTTCTTTATTTCTTGATATTGTAACAAATCAATCGGTCACGAAGTCCTGCCCGGCGTGTCACGAGTTCGAGCACTAGTTGCACTGAAAACCCAACGTGCAGAGGAGCTGATGCAGATTAAATCTGTTGACAACTAAACTTCTCCCGTTAGAATGGTGAGGAAACTAGGAGAAGGTTCTCGTCACTTGATCGTGGTTCAAAATTATGGTCCCATCGTCAATGCCCTCCGGTAGCTCCATAGAGTGCGACGTAAATACAACTCTCACTCGCTGTAACAAATAAAAAGTTATTTACGTACTTTTTAAAAATATGCAAATTACTTAAAATGACGCAACAATTTAAACAAAATTAAACAATAGATAAAGAAATCACAAAATTATTTAACAATTTGAAACTTGAAAAATCATATAAAATTAAAATCTCGTGACTACTTACATCAGGGATGGCGAACCGTGGCACGCGGGCCATCGATAGCACTCGACACAATATTTTGGGCACGTCAGTGATGAAAATGGTTAGCATTTTATTTCAAAACAACAAAATTCACTATGAAATGTTACGAAAAACGCGAGTGATCGGTCGGGGCGGCGGGGAGCACACTCGTTTGTTATTGTCTCTTAGTTGTTGCCTTAGTGACATCTTGGACTACAGTTGCTTATGGTGCTAAATTTGTCTACGTATAGCATAGGTCAATTTCATCGACACAACTTGTATTTTAAAGTTTACTTTTTGTTATATTTACATTTTTAACTGTTATTTGACATGGCTAATTCAGCAAAAGAACTAAAAGTGCAAGACAGTAAGTGTAACAGAAAATTTCAAACTTGGTGAATCTAGAAATATGGCATGATTAGTAAAGGTGACAAAGCGGTGTGTTTTTATGTTCTGGAACAGTGGTATACAGAACATCGTCTGAAATGGCATTTTGAGACAAATCACAAATCCTTTTGTCAAAAAAGTGAACAACAGTAAAAATAATAAATTGCTTAGAAACCATTTGGCAGAAGACTCCAACTCAACATTCATTCTACTAAAAGTAAAATCTTGTGACGGGCTCACGCGTCTTTTCATTAACATGTCCTTTGGATTCTTTTGGGACCAGGATTAATGGCAACTTTTTCCAACCAAAACCCAAGAAGTGAAACGTAAATATAAAATGCAAATTAGATAGCTTTTAAATATCAGAAGTTTCAGTAAGTGAGGTGGCAATTTGGGTAATGTTATGATAGAAAGTGATACGATTGTGAATTGACAGCCAACAGAGGTTATCCCGAAGATAGAGCCATTAGGTCAACGTGCATACCATTGCACTCGAGTAAAGACGCAACTCCCTTATGATTAATTCGGCGATCAGATCAAGGTAGGATTGACTATTTAATATTATGAC